TACACACACACACACACACACACACACACACACCACCCAAAAAAGTTTACATTTCCTGCTATGTGCACAAAACCTCTGGTTGTTGAATATTGATGTTCGATTGAACATTTAACAATGATAATGTATTAATATTTTGCAAATAACAAAAGTTCTGAATATATAATATGTGATTAAAATAGCCTAATATTTCAAAATTAACCCACATGTTTCAGTTTTACCGTTCACTGCTGTTTTCTGTACCTTTACACATGTTAACTACTTGTATAACAAAATATTTGTCATGTCAAAGTAATTTGTTGGTATACTTCACTGGTTATCTTTAATAAAGGCAAAATATTAATTAAAATTTTGAACAAAATTAATGGCATCTTTTGTTTACTTAGACATAAGTGAGATTACTTGTTTAATAAATTTTAAAAATTATTATATTTCTTATAGTTTATTCTGCAAGCTGGCTTCATTGCTACGAGCAAAACTTAGTGTTTTTGGAAGTGAAGCTCGTATTTCTGTTCGTTGTCTGCAAGTCCTGATACGAGCAACTGATGCAAGGTTTGTTTTTGTTTTGTTGGGAAAATATAACTAGGAAAAATATTCTATGATGTTTAGTATGCTTCAAGATGCATATGGACTCTTTAAGCTTGAAATATTACATTTTGAGGGGCATATTGGGTATTTAGGAGATTTAATTTTATAAAGCAAAATTACAGCCGTCAAAATATTTCATGATTACATGAAAAAGTTTTAACAAAAAAATTCAACTTTCAGAAACAGGTATACTACAAAAGATGTCTTAAAATGTAGAATAAGAATTCAATTCATGTCACCACATGATGAGATATATTAATGAAAAGCCCAAAATGTTGGTTACATTGAGTAAATAAGTAAATATAATGTTAGTAAAAGACAATAAAACATGACTCTGTTTGAATATTTTTCCATAGTCTACAAACTTTCTTTACATTTAACCAATACTTGTAACTATTGTGTATGTTATCTGTAACTAGAACACTCTATACTTTAACGTTTGGAGAAAAAACACCAACTATTATTTTAAGCTCATTATCCAAGCCTAGTGAAATGACTGAACAACTTACAACTCTTTCAATGCTTCCATTCTCCATCAGTTTCATGTCTACTTGAATAATGCTCGGTCTAGTGGTCTTAAGGGGATATATATGTAGTTGTAAGGGAACGCTTGAAAATTTTTCCAAATGCATCTATCTCATTAAAGTACTTAAAGCTTTTGTTAAGTAATAAGGAGTTTTGAACATTAGTCTTAAAAAAACTTGAAAGAAAGATTTGTAGGTTATTCTTTTATTAATATAATTTTTGTTTTTTAGAACCATCACCAAGAATTGTCCAGACTTTGTAAAAACATCAATGCTGACATTCTTTAACAATTCAGCTGAAGATCTTGCTCAAACTGTGATCAATCTACGACAGGGAAAGTATAGCCACTTACGTGGAACTACATTAAAAACCTCATCATCATTAAATTATGTCCAGCTTGTCCTCCTGCCAGTTCTAACATCCATGTTTGATCATTTAGCAGCTTGTGAATTTGGAAGTGATTTGCTATGTAAGTGTTCTTTCCAAGAATGTCTGCAAGGGTTAAATAACTCTTATTTATTGGTGCTTTAAATTCTTTGCAAAAAAAAAGAGTAACATAATACAAAAGTAAATCTGTCATAGTTCTTACATACATCAGACTCTATTTCAATAATCTAATTCTACAGTAAAGTCGAAAGAAATAAATACAATTGTTCTTCAGTCACTTAAAAAAGAATGAGGTTAATGACTGAGAAAAACTAAAATAAATTTATTCTTTAATCACTTCAAATAACTTAGTATCTTAAGATAAACAACATATAAAGAACAAAGGATTATTATTCAAACTTGAAAAAAAATGTTTTTTTTAACAGTGACCTTATTTCTAGATAAAACAGAAGTTTTGTATGAAAAAAAAAGCAAAGAAATATCTTGAACCTTTGTCAAATCTAGAGGTGTGGTATTACCATGATATTATATAAAGGACCGAGCTTTTGGCTTAATCTGAGGTTGCCACAGCTGTTCCAAATGCCAAAATGTCACTTTCCTTATGTTTCTGAACAGACCTAAATACTTTTACATTACGTTACAAAAAGTAGTTTCATATCTATTTTATATTAAGAGAAATAAGCTGTCAAAAATAATGGACGACCAACACAAAACACAATTCCTGAACTAGGGACTATTGATAACTGTAGCACATATATTAGTATTTTTTGTAAATGTTTTTTTGATAATTTTAATGGCAAATTGCTTTCTACTAAATCAGATTAAAAATGATGACTAAAGGGTCTAAAGGTCATATGGAAAAACTGAAATTATTGAATGGTGGAGTTGCCTAAGATGCTGCATCTGTGTTGATAGTTTCCCCTGACAGGTGGGGTTTGAATCCAACTTTAGGAGGTATCTTATTTTTAAGTTATTTCAAAATAATTTGCCATTAAAGATGTAATGCAAAATTTATTGGCAAGTTAAACAAGAAATAAATGAGGAATACTTGGTTTATCACAAATTTATCTGGTTGAGCCCTTTTTTCTAACTTGTTTTTTTTGTACATGTAAAATGTTTTAATCAGATATTACTTACACCACAAGATAAAACAAGAAATTTTCGAAAAATAAGTTAAACCTCTTTTATTCCACCAGTGGATGACATCCAGGTTGCTTGCTACAAAATCCTGAACAGCTTGTACATTCTTGGAACAAACCCAGAACTGGCTGGTGACAGGTAATGAACACCATCCTCATGCAAAAGAATTAGATATACTGTCTGATTTTAAGAGGATAAAACTGAAAAGATGTGTAGTAGATATGAATTACTTATGTTTAGTTATGCATGTTTAGATTATATTGATTTCTAAATTTTATTATTTTTTTATTTTATATATATATGTAATTTTTTATAGCCACTACTATTAAAACAGTTTTGAATCTAATGTGAGACTGTTATAAAAATAATTTGTGGTATTAGTATGTTTTGCAAATGAATGCATTTTTGAAAAAAACAACAAATTAAACTTTGAAAATCAATACTATCTTCTTATTTTCCTAAGTTTGAAAATAAAAAAACTTTTGTTTATCTTATGTTTATTTTTAATATGTTTTTAAATTTTTTGTTATTTTTTTATCATATATTCTTTTATTTTTTGTTTTGTTTTAATCAGATATTTTATTTTTATTTTGACGTGTATAGGAAATTTGTCAAGGCTGAAATTGACAGGTACCGTTTGAATACTGTTCTATTCCTGTTTTTAATTTTATAATTAAAATTAGAATAAAAAGGCTATGAAGATAATCCTGCAAGCTAATTACTAGGATAGATTTGTTCATTATCTGTAACAATGACTTACGTGTGGTAATATTAAAGAAAAAATATTAGTTTATGTAAGGCATTGCACATACTTATTAAAATGAAAAAAGGTTTATGAGGTGGTTTTTTTTTGTATTTTCTGACATAAATAAACAAGACAAGATACTCGGTTGTCTGTCCAACTAATGTGAATATTGTTTTCACATTATAAAGTTTGTTTGTATAACTTACATATTTTTATCGATATGTTTTTAGTAACGAGTAGAGATTAGTAATAAATATTTTAAACTTTTAATTTGTTGGAAGGTTATCAACAGATGGTTTATAAGGTTTCCATGGAATGAATTACCAGATAAAAATATTCCAGTTGCTATATAATTTAATACTATAATCATGGACGTTTCTTAAAATATATACTTAAAATGTATCTAAAACATTTTGACTAAAATCACTGGTTCTGCAGTATTGTTTATTTGAAATTCCATGCTGCATAAACATGGTATGTTTAGAATTTTGTATGGATGTTTTCTATCTTAATTTCAAGTAGGCTTTATTGGCTTCTGTGTTAAAGACATTTTAAATCAAGGTGGTAGCCAACCATAGAAAATTCCAGCCCTGATAATATTGTGGTATTCTCAGGTTGAACTGATTTTCATCAGAGCCACAAGATAGGTCTGCAAAATAATGGAATGTTTCACAAAATACGTATCACAAAGTAATTCTGAGTTCCTTAAGTAAGTGAGTTTGTGAGAACTAAATAAAGAGAATGAACACAACAGTACAAAAATACAATGAATGATCTTTATTTGATATTCATAATCACAGAGTGTGTACTTGCTTGCAGACAGTTACTTTTGTTAAATTGTGAATATCTTCATTCTAAACTGCTTTGTTTGAGCTACTGTTCCAGACTGACTAAACTTTACATTACCCAAAGTGAATGGTGCTACCCTATGATTGGTCATTCCCATTATAACATAAGGAAGTTGTAACTTTGATACATCACCCTGCCACTGGGGCCAGTTAAAGGACTGGTTGGTTGGTGGCTGCTCAACCACTTCTGGGGTGGAGGCTTCATCTCCATGCTGATGCTAGGAGCCAGTAACATTATTGGGATTCTGTTGACATGGGATCTCCCTTGTTAATACTGAAGGTTTACACTATAAATTAAGTTTTTGCATGCAAAAGATGCAGTATTCTTTCAGGGATACTGCCAGAACTTAACTGTAGGAATGAAATTATAAGTATGTCACTAAGGCTAAATTCTAGCCTTAAGTTAATATGTAAGAAAGAGCAGGTTGACTGGTTGGATTTATGGGATCAGTTCAGTGGGAAAAAGGTGCTTTTTGGAATGGATGGTTTACATTTAAATAAAGCTATTAACTCAACTGTTAATGGAGGACACTGCTGTTGACATCCATGCACAATGATGGCCAGGTGGTTAGAGCGCTTGACTCGTAATCTGTGGGTCGCGGGTTCGAATCCCCGTCACACCAAACATGTTCACCCTTTCAGCTGTGGGGGCATTATAATGCGATGGTCAATCCAACTACTCATTGGTAAAAGAGTAACCCAAGAGTTGGCGATGGATGGTGATGACTAGCTGCCTTCCCTCTAGTCTTACACTGCTAAATTAGGGACGGCTAGGGCAGATAGCCCTAGTGTAGCATTGCACGAAATTCAAAACAAAACCATGCATAATGTACAGCTTTACAGCCACATCATTCATGAGCAAACCAAGCGTTATCTCAAGAGACTATAAAGAATAGAGGTTGCTATAAAAAAACAACTTAATGACAAAACCATGATGTACAGCTTTACAGCCACATCATTCATGAGCAAACCAAGCGTTATCTCAAGAGACTATAAAGAATAGAGGTTGCTATAAAAAAACAACTTAATGACGTTTTTAACCACGGGTTATGTGAAAATTGAACAAACTCAGAATACCTAACAAATTTTAAAAACTTCTGTAGTAAAACAAGAATGTAGATATTTCAAACTTTTCCTTCCCCACTTACTTCAGGCTTGTCCTCAAGTCAACAATTAATTTTAAATCTTGAAACCATTAAATCTGTACACAGACTGTAACTTTCTCTGACCCCTGTAAATGCTTGTAAACTATATAGACACACAACCCTTTAACAAAGAAACACAATACATTGTCAAACTCTTTAATAATGAAATTACAATGCATATGCATTATATAATCAAAAGAACTTTTAACAAGTATCGTAATAAACATACTAAACCATTTAATGACGATGCATTACACATTGAAAATCTCTTGAACAAAGTTAATTATAGAATCATATGATACATGATAATCATCCTTTAACATAGATAACAATTACAACTGCAAATTAAACATTATATGAAACACAAAACCATATTTCAATACACACAACCTCACAGTAAAAGCCCTTTAACAAAAAGTCGTAATTTCCTGATAACCTCCCAATAAAAGAACTTCAGCACGGATTAATTAGAAATAGTCACAAAGAAATTATAAATAAAATTTGATAACACTGACAGTACTTCAGCATGATAAGATACATAAGTCATAATGAAAAAACATTTTTATTCTTTAACATCAAATACAAATTGGAAGCAATACTCTTCAACACAGATTACAAACATGACTCGAGAATCATCTTTTATTAGTGAAATTTCAAATACTACATAGTGGGACAAAATTTAAAACAAGACAAAATGAATCATTCAGGAGTGACAAATATTAATTTAATCCTTTTAAAATATACATTAAGACACAAAATTTTCCTTTAAGTACATATAAAGTTAATTCAAAGTTCCCTAAACATAGCACAACCTTTTAACAACCATTAAAAGACATAAAGGTGTATGTGAAAAGTACCAAGAAAGGAAACTGTATGAATGACAATAATAAGCAAAAATACATAAAAGTAAAAGGATCTAACTATATATGTTCTAAGTAATTCACACAAGCATCCACAAACAGGTGAAATTAATACATAAGCAAAAGTGAACAATAAGAAAAAAAATAACTTGTAGATATGTATAAAATATAGCCTAGTGGTTAGGGTGCTTAACTCACAATCTCTGTCCCATCAGCCATGGGGATGTTATCGTGTTACACTCAATCCCACTTTTTGTTGGTAAAAGAGTAACCCAAGAGTTGGCAATTGGTGATGTTTATTAGCTGCCTTCCATCTAGGGACAACTAGTGCAGATAGCCCTCAAGTAGCTTTGCATAAAATTCCAAAAGAAACAAACGATACATATAGAATATACACTTAACCAGATTAGCTGTGAGGCCTGACATCTGTTGCTCTCTTTTCAACCCCATCAACTGATTCTCCAATGTGGCATTTATCTGTCGATTGGCCAGCCCAGTGGTCACTCTAATGGTTTCGCAAACCTTAACCAGGGTGATTTTTTGGTTTGAGCCAAATTGGCCCACAGTCGACAGACCTTCTCCACAAGTTGCAGTATTTACTCAGTGTACAGAAACATAGTGTGTGTACATGCTTATGGATAATGAATGGTCATTTTTTACTGGATTGTAAACACACTTTCTTTCCAAACTTCTGTGGTTGAGATGCTATTCCAGACTAAGTAAACCTTAAATTACAAAAGTAAATTGGTAATGTCAGACTTACCCAGATCAACTAGCACGACTCGTGTATTGGTCATTTTCATTCAAACAAAAGGGAGGTTGTAACCTCAATTCATAACCTGATCTACCATTGGAAGACCAGCTGTCCACATCCATGCAGAATGTGCAGCTTTACAGCTATACTACATATTAGTCATAAGCAGATAAACTGTGATCTCAAAAGGATGACAAAAACATAGGTTACTAGAATGAAATCAAATTAATGACTCTCTAGACTACATGTTATGTAAAAATTGAACTTTCTCAGAATAACAAGTCTTGAAAAAGTCTATTGTAAGAAGGTAAAAACACATGGTATGCCAATATATCATAGTGTTTCAATACTAAAGTGTACAGTATTGAGTTAGTTTGAGTATTCTTTTATACTAAAGCAGAAGCCATCCATAGGAAACTCTAACCCTAATATTATTTCAGTTCTGAACTATATAGTATGAGGTTAGTTTGAGTCACCCATCTTAACTTGCGAGTTTCAAGTTATATCCTGATCTTAACCATTCCTCAAGAACTCATTGTTTAAAATATACATAGTCTTGAATATTGAACAGTTTTAAAACAACCTGCAGTGTACTAGTAAACTAGAAATTTTAAAATCATTGCAGTATGTATAATCGGTATACAAAGCTATAAAACTTAAGTAACTCAAAGACTTGGAAGAAGTCAAGAAATTATTTTTAAAATGTTTTGGTGGAATTCAATTCCATTCATAATTACAGAATAGTTAAAATACATTTTATAGGGCTGAAAACCTAAAAAATTGTTTCTTAGGAGGTAATCAAAAAATTGTAGGGTTATGTTTTTGTCGGCTTCATAAAGAAGCCGAATAACATTATACCTCAAGAAACTGGATGTTATTTGTATCAAACATGAATTTTCTGAACTTTTTACACATGGAAACTTACTGTAAATATGTTCCTCCATTGTTTACTTAGTATAGGGAAGAGTTACACACTTGTACATGTGTGCTTAAGTCATCATTTACTGTGTTAATGCTCTTCCGTCATTTATTCACAATAAAGAAGAGATGTACCCTTATTATACTTGTGTTCCAGTCCTCGTTTAGTCATTATAAGAAAGAGGCAAAAGTAAAGACCTCACTTACTGTACGTGTTTAGATCTTTAATTAGTTTATATGCACTTAAGTCAAAATTTACTATACTTTTACTCGTACTCCACACTTGCTACACATTTTTCCTAAATCACATGTGTACTGGGAGGTATGCTTTTATGTATTATTTTGAGAGTGGTGGTCCTGTACAGTTTACTTATCTATTTATTTTGACTGAAGAATGTAAGAACAGTTACAACAAAAGTGATGTGGAATATTATATGTGATTTTAAAATGTTTGTAATTCATAGGACATTTACCATAATTTTCTGAATTTAATACACACTCTAATCTTCATGAACAGAGTCAAATTTGTCTTATCAACATGAATAATACACACCAAGATTTTTACAATAATGCAGTCAAAGTAACCCTTTGATGACAAGAATGTTAGAGTGTTTGTATAATGTCTAATTCTGTGTTTGCTGTAATGCTGGCTACCTTTGCAATCATGGCCGGCAAATAAATGTTAGGGTATCTATAAAATTGCTAAACACTTGCTATGTAGAAAGTTGCACCAACCATTCAAGGACAGTGAGTTGCACTCAGAATTTGAAGATTTCACCAAAAACAATTTCTAGTTTTGAATATCAAATGTAATGTCGAGATAACTAGTTTTGTATTTCCAAACATTTTTAATTGTGCATGTAAATAAATCTTAAAAATCTCAAGACTTAACTTCTTGATCATTTTATTCCAAAAGTCATGTTTAATGATACTAAAAATGAATGGAAATGGGAGACATTTCTCATTTATGCTTTAGAAACAGAGAGAATTAATTAGACATACCAATGAAATGCACTTTTCCTAGTAAGTATGCATTATCGTTCACAACACATGTCTGAAAAAATGGTTTGGGCTAGGTGTAGAAAAAAATTGATTCGTTACCATATATTATATGCACCCTAACTTCTAGATAAACTTTTAGTTAAAAGTATGCATATTATATGCAGAAAATTATGGAATATATTTTTTGTTCAACTTTCTCAGAAAATTAACATTTACACAGATGTATAATGGATAAATGTTACAAAAAAGACTCACCGAGTGATTAAGTACATCTGCCCAAGTCATTATTACAAATATGTAAAAATGACATATCTTAACAGTGTCAAAGTTGATCTTAAAAATTATTAATTCTGTACAAGAACTTATTTAAATTCTCCATGAGTGCTGGCATGTTTTGTAATTAGTTATATACTTTGATCAGATTATTCATGGAATTATTTTCATAATCTACTACAGGCATCGCCCAGCAATTGGAAACTGTCTGGGAGCAATGGCTAGTACTTTTCCTGTTGCATTCATGGAACCACATTTGAATAAGCATAATAAATACTCTATTCATGGACGTCTTCAGGAGCATTCCCTTGAAGCACAAGGTAAAGCTGTAATACTTGTAATTATACACGACAGTAGATAAGTTGTGTTAAACATAATCATTATGGGTGTCTTCAGGAGCATTCCCTTGATGCAAAAGTTAAGACTTTAATAACTGTAAACAATACATGCTTGTATTTCAGTCATCATTTACTATATATTTGTTTAGGTTCTTACTGGTATACATGTGTTTAAGTAATAATTTACTGTACACAGGTTTAAGTCCTTACCAGTGTACTTGTGTTCAAGCCATCTTATACTGTACATAAGTATAAATTAACATTTACTCTAAGCATGTTCCAGATCATGTACTTCTTATAATGAAGAGGTATACACTTGTTTAACTAGACATATTCAGTTGTGTGTAACGAGAACAAGTTGACTGGAACCAGTAAGTCCCAAGATTAACACTATCACAGACTTAGTTGAAATGCTGTAGGATTACCAGTAGTTCCTGTATATTAAAGAAGAACATCAAGACTACCCATGTTTTATTTCATTAATTATGTGATGTGGAACTCGTGCCTTGTTGCATCAGGAAAGACTGTACATAGCTAAAAGTGATTTCAAGTTACTTATTTTGTTGTTTAGGTTTTTAGATAAGAAACACTGGATGCTAACAAACCTCTCTGATCATGTGGTATATTAAAACATATATATATCTATATTTGATTACATATAGCTGTGATGGCAGATTTAGAAACTAGCATGCCAACTGTTGAGGATATTATGCAGCAGGTGGACAAATTTGTGAACAGTGGTTCCAAGTATTTGGATGCTCCTCATATTATTGATGTCATGTTGCCCATGTTATGCAGGTTAGTGATGTTTTTTCTTCAGAAGAGGGGTACAAAAAGTTCATATCAAGTAATTCTATTAATCTATCTTTTTTTTTTTTCAGTATTAAATTTATTGTGGTAAACATTCACTGGACTATAATAAAAGCATATAGTGATGATGAAACTTTGTAGAATGGACAGCAACTGCTATAACAGCCTGTTATAGAGACACAAGTGTAGAGGATGACGTTTCAAAAGTCTTCCGCCTTTCGTCTTCAGGTCAGTGTGCGTATGGCGTTGTTGTTCTTAATAGTATTCTGGTGGATTGTGGAGAATGTGTTACAGTTAGTTGGTTTATCCATGTTTCTGATTGGAGGAGAGATTTTCTGTAGATTCAACCAATGGTAGCCACAGGTTACTCACCTCTAATTTGTAATCTTTGTTAACACAATAAAACCTTCACTAAACAGAGATTCCGTATTAGAGGTCAGTAAACTGTGGCTATCATTGGTTGAATCTACAGGAAATCTCTCCTCCAATCAGAAACAGAGATATACCAATTATAACAAGCTCTCCACAATCCATCAGAATACTATAAAGACCAACAACACCATATGCACACTGACCTGAAGACGAAAAGCAGAAGACTTTCAAAACATCATTCTCTGCACTTGTGTCTCTATAACAGGCAGTTGCTGTCCATTCTACAAAGTTTCATCATGAATACTCTGCCTAAACAATCTATCAAAGAAGCATATAGTGATGTTGAATATGGGTAATGTTTAAACTATTTTATCTGTGATTGTTGTTTCAGTAGTTAAGATAACTGATTTCTTAGCATATAAAGGTAACTGATAATTATACTAATTTTTAATAGAATTCGTTTTGTACAAAAGTAAGAAAATTTTTTAAGAGTAATGCCTGAACTATCTCAATATTTTAGCATGGCAAAGCCAGTCTAGTATATGTGTGTGTATGTCCATTTCTGTAAATTTCTAGATTGTGGGTTTAAAGGAAGGCTTAAAGAGCCTTGAAAATATTAATTTGGATACTCAAACTGTGCTTCTAATTTTTAATAATTTTGCCACAGCATTTACACAAGTTTTATAAGCAAGCAGTTCTATAGCATTTAAACGTATATATCCATTGTTCCACTTAAATAGTTATGATTTTTTTCTATAGTTATCTACCTTTCTGGTGGAATCAAGGACCTGATAATGTGAACTTAACAACAGGGTAAGACATTCTTAATCAATGCACATTTTTTATACCAAATAAACATTGTTGAATGCTAGTGAGTGTCTTGGGCTTTAAATAAATATTCACTTGCATTTTCAAAACTTTTGGAAATTTAAGTTTGTGTCTTTTTAATTGGATATTATGTAAACTTTTACCATTTGCATGATTTTGAATAATCCTTTTTTTCACCCTTCTTATAATATCTCCCCTCATAACTTCATATCTGTAACTGTCACATGGTATAATACTTTGAAATACAGATAAGCCATAGAGTACTACTGTGTATATGTTATCAAATACTGTGTTTTGTTATGTTATATAATGTCTTATGTCAGCGATGTGTGATTTATTATCAGCCTTATTGGAATAATGTTCTAATTATTTCAAGTCAGAATCTGTGTTTGTGTGTCTTTGCATATACATTTGCTTGTTCTTCTGTATAACTAACGTCCATCCTTATTTCAGCAACCATGTTACCATGGTAACAAGTGAGCATCTCAACAATCTCCTGAAGAATGTACTTAACCTTATTAGGAATCAAATTGGGACAGAAGGTGCTCCCTGGATGATTAGTATTGCTGGTAGGTTAAGATTTTATATTTCATGGAAATACATGAAGAACCCTCTTCTCCAAATAAGTGGGTTATTTGTGTATGAGTTTCTGTTGAAAAATTAATCTGTAGATATGTGTAATTTTGTTATTTTTATAAATTGTTCATCTTTGTTCTCTAATTAAATAATTTTCTGTTTAAGCTAAAAAAAAATAATGTTACCATGCTAACTTGTAATTTATTTAGCTAATGCTGGTCAGATCATCATCAACTCTGCTGAAACACTGTTGGAAGAACCAGTTCTACCACTAGCAGAAAAGATCTTTACACGTGCAGAAGCTGTTTTTCACAAGGAGGAACTAATGAGAGGCTATCTTAAGTCTTCTACTGATGACACGTCTCAAGTTGAGGGACAGCTTCAAGAGGTACATAATATTAAAATGTCATCAGTTAGAGTAACCAATAATCAATATTACTGGTTCATAAGTTAGTCAGAGTTATTAATGTGGTTACTAGTGTAACTTACAGTCAATGTTGCTGATTTATAAATCAGTCAGGGTAATTAATGTGGTAACCAGAGTAACTAACAATCAACGTTGCTAATTTATAAATCACTCATAGTAAATAATGTGGTAACCAGGGTAATTAACAATCAATGTTTCTGGTTCATAAGTCAGTCAAAGTTATTAATGTGGTAACCAGGGTAACTAACAATCAATTTTGCTAGTTCATAAGTCAATCAGAGTAACTAATGTGGTAACCAGAGTAACTAAAAATCAATGTTTACGGTTCCTAACTCTTTATAAAATGAAGTGTGAAACAGATTCCAACATGTAAGAGTATTGAAGTACTTGGTACATGGGCTGACCCTGAGGTAGAGCTCTGGATTTAAATTGAATAACATACATAAAGTACTTTGGTTCTAAGTAATTACCATTAGGGTGAAAACTGTAAGAAAAGACAAAAAAATTCAGACAGCTAGAATGGCAAGTTTTAAAATTTATGATAATTTTGTTTTTAAATTCAAGATTTTTTTTCTCCAGTGATTGAATTGTTTTATCTCATCTTGAAAGATGTCGAGATAAAAAAATCAAACATTTTAATTTCTTACAGGAATTTTCTCTACTTGTTAGAGATATATATGCCTTCTTTCCTCTTTTGATAAAATATGTGGATCTTCAGAGGTGAGTGAAATAATCAGAAGTTTCTCTTTATTTAGTTCAAAACCTACATTTTTTACTAAGTTTTACTTCTTCATCTCATCATTTTTAAAAGTATTTTAATTTTTATTTGTAGATTACCAAGAAAGCCAAGTTTGTTATATTCTTTGTAGTTTAGAGTTTGGAAAATGTTTGTACAATCTTTATATTTAATAACTATCTGATAGATGATATCTATTAGATTTAAAGACACCAACATTTAAAAGAATTAATAACTGTTTGATGGATGATATCTATTGAATTTAAATGTACTAACATATTTAAGGATACCAACATTTAAAAGAACTGGTAACTGCCTGATAGATGATATCTATTAGATTTAAAGATACCAACATTTGAAAGAATTGGTAACTGCCTGATAAATAATATCTATTAGATTTAAAGATACCAACATTTAAAAGAATTGGTAACTGCCTGATAGATGATATCTATTAGATTTAAAGATACCAACATTTGAAAGAATTGGTAACTGCCTGATAAATAATATCTATTAGATTTAAAGATACCAACATTTAAAAGAATTGGTAACTGCCTTACAGATGATATCTATTAGATTTAAAGATACCAACATTTGAAAGAATTGGTAACTGTCTGATAAATAATATCTATTAGATTTAAAGATACGAATATTTAAAAGAGGTGGTAACTGTATAGTTGTTAAAATATAAAGTTACTGGACACAACAGATTTAAAAACGTGTTTTGAAAAATATTGCTTATATTTCTTTATGATAAAACCTGTATCATTTTGATATCATCAGTGCCTTTTTTAGTGGCTATTAACATTTTAATGAGAAGCAAATGCTTGTTCTGCGTTACAAACACATGATATTCAATAGATACAGCTGTGTGCTAACACTGCTGTTTGTGTGGAAGTTATCTTCACAAATATATGATAATTAATGGAATTTATGTTTGAAGCTGTTGTCATACCTTGCAATAATTTGAAAATTCTTCTAATCAGAGGAATGATTCTTTTCTAAAATGTTTGGCTAACTAAGGCAAAGGCATGCCATTGTCTGTACTTTATGGTCTTTTAATCTTATAGAAAAACATGTGCTTTTTAATATTGGACTCATAAAATGCAATAAACATTACCCATTAGTTTTTCAAGGGAATTTTATGGTCTTTTGGATGAATTAATAAATTGTAAGATTAAAAGAACAAAAATAAATGACACCTAGAAATTATTATATTTATGACATATGTTTTTGAATATTACTGATATTTTGCTTACCTTATGAGTCTTAATTTAAGTTAGTCACTAGTTTTATGCGATTGTCATGCTTTTATTAGTTTTATTCTTATTATCTTACACAGTATCTATCTTTTTATTTTACTTAGAATAACAACAAAGATTTTACTTCTTGTAGGGCACATTGGTTGAAACATAACGTAAAGGAGGCAGAACAACTCTACAATTATGTGGCACACATTTTTAACCTGTGGTCTCGCTCTCAGGTAAGTTCTCTACCCATTGCAGAAGTAAATGTTTAAAAGAAAGTTTTTGAGATAAGATGAACATTTACAGCAACAAAAATGATTTAATTTAAAATATAACGAAACAGTTCACTCTAGTTACTAAGTAATGTGAAAAAAGCATAAGATAATTGTTATTACAGTTATGACACACAAAGGTAGATTTCTATATTATTTATTAACAAATTTTGACTAAAGCAAACTAACTACATAGATCAGAACTAAAAGTAACATAATAAGCAATGTAACTAATTTAACATACTATCTAGATAGGAGTATGCAATAACACAAAATTAAAAAACATCATGATTGTAATGTATTGATTCATCAATTGGGTACATTTCTTGTTAGTGACATTTTCAGCAATAAGTTAGTTTATTTACATGTTAGTTTGAGTAAAGATTGAGAAAACTGTGCTTTTGTGTAAAAATCTTTATTATATTTGCTATGTGAAACATTAATGTTTTTTTTGTGATTTTAAGTACCTTAGCTGTCTTTACTAAACTTACTTATTGTCGTAGTAAGATCAATAATTTTACATACCCTTCAGTCTTTTATTTTTTATAATTATCCTGATAAAGTTATTCAAATTTTTTTTCTGTAAGATATTAAACTGATTTTACAACCTTATATGCTTTCATTTAAAGAAAAGAAAAATTTCAACATTCCTTAACAGGTAATTACAAATAGATATTTTTTTCACACTTTAGTAATTGTTAAAATATTAGCTATACATGTTCAAAACTTATTGTGTGTTAAGTCTCTTTCAGTTTTCACACGATCAGTATGTTTATTTCAGTATTTCCGGCGTGAGGAACAGAACTTTATCTCACAGCATGAAATTGACAATATGGCACTGATCATGCCAGCAGCTGGTAGAGGACGAACTGCTGTACAATCTACAGAACATACCACCACATCATCAAAGAAGGTAAGACATGTTTAAGATTTTTTTTTATAATGTTGGAATTTGTGGAATATACACATCATCTTTGATATAATAGTAATGAACATTTTATCAAAATGTAGTCAATGCAAAGTGTATATAAAACATGTAATTAGTGCAAAATATTTGTAGGTGTTAATTATTATATATGGCTGATTAAATCTTATCATTATCACAAAGCTCTGATTAGATGAAAGGTGTATCATTAGCAAAGACAGAGAAGTTTTGGTTTTCATTCATATTCTGAGAAAAAGCAAAGGAGAATATCTTATAATATATTAATCACAGTACATCAACCGTATCCAGAGCCAACTAGGCCTTTTGCCCAATATTAGAGATTATCAGGCCAGCTGGATTATAAAAGATGTAGTAGTGGTTTAGATATATATATATATCACCAATTTTCATGAACAATAACTGTTATGGTGTGAACCAGATAAAGCAAGTGAATTCTAATTATTATCAATTTTGTTTAAGTCATTTATAAACCAGATTTATAGGTATTACAAAAGATTCTTTGTTTTCATAATCACATTAAATAATCCATTATGCAGGTAAAAAAACGAAGAGATGGTAAAAGAGATAAAGACAAAGAAGTGGCTTCCAGCTTGATGGTTGCCTGCTTAAAACGTGTTCTCCCTGTTGGTTTGAATCTTTTTGCTGGTCGAGAGCAAGAACTTGTCCAACATGCCAAGGAAAAGTTCCTGAAGGTAACTGTTAGAAGTAGAGATGCAGTTAACAAAAATATTAAAAAGCACATAATAAAATACTTGCTTTATATGTGAATAGGAAAGTAACATTATTTCTTTTGTCATTTTTTGTAGAGGGAACAAGATTCGGACATATTTGATTATGTGAAAACTCAGCTGACTCTGCCAGACAAGGTAATGTTTAATTATACCTATTTCTCTTTGTCATATTTACACTGAGCACATGCATATGCTGTAAATATTAGCATATATATATATATATATAAATGTAATGTTTCTATCACATTTATCCTCTTGATGGTACAAGCTGGTACATTACTTTTGTGTATTTATAACTTTACATAAAGTTAATTTTATTTTCTGGCAGATTGATCCTAGTGATGATATGAGCTGGCAACACTATTTGTATAGTAAACTTGGTAGTAAGAAGTCAACACACACTACAATGACAGTTACTGCTGACCAACTAGTTGAGAGGATTATTGATATGGCCAAGGTTCTGTATGGGCTTCACATGGTTTGTATTTCTTTTGATTTTCACACTAAATCACAATTAACTCCTTCTTTGTTATGATCAAAGATTTAATCTATAAATTTTACTAGCTTGTTTTGTTGTAGGCTGAAATAAATTAAAGTTCCTGAATGATATAACTAATGTTATACCAATAATTATTTATGGAAGTAAAAAGGAGTTTTTAAATATACATGAATAAATATTTCAGTTGTATTTACACAGGGCAAATAAAAAAGCATCTACCTTGAAGTAATTGTATAATTAAATTTTGTAAACCATTATCCATAATGAAGAAAATGTAAAGTATTCATGTTTAGCTCATTAAAAGTTGAATTTTAAGTTTTCCATTTGTATTGTTATATATATTAAATAAATTAGCAAATTAAATATAATTGTTTATACTGTATGTCTAAATTGTTATAACTGCCCCATAAACAATTCTAAAATATTGTAAAGTATGTTTAAAAAGAGAGTTGTACAAACAAACAAACAAACAA